TTTTTCATCGAGTTCCTCACTTTCAAACATATTGGTTATCACCTTACAAAACTCAACTTGTTTTTCCATCGCTTTCTCCGTCAGCAATTGATGTGTAGTGATTTTGTAGGGATGCAGTTTAATGACGTCTCTCATTATTTTTCGGAGAGTTTCTCGCTTTAAATCCAAAACCTGAGCAGCTTTCCTAATCGAGGTGTTTGAATTTTTGTCAAAATAATTTCTAACGTCATCAATTGTTTCGTCCGTTGTAACGGTACGAGATGGACCAGGTAAATCATGTCTACGATCGTTCAAAGTGCCATACATACCAAAATTATCAATAATCCTGCCAAAAAAATATCGACAAATAAAAATAAAATTTCACCTAACCAACATTGGAATGATGACGCGATTCCAGGGAGAGGGAGCGTGGGTAAAAAGTATCAAAAACATACCTTCTGAGTATTGTTTCGCTTGAAACTTTTTTAGATCCATATTTACTACGGAATCCACGATACGCTTGACTATAGTTTTTGCCTCTACTATAGAAGCACTCGATGAGAAACACTTTTTCTTCGATGCTTAGCGCGTCCATCCTATAACTCACAAATCGGTTTATACGACGGTTCAAATGAAATTGACGGGTCTTAGGTAGCGGACCCTAGTCGGTAAAACAGTTACCGAAATCGAGGAGGGGATATATAACCGTTTACTTTCAACACATTCCCATTGGTCACCCTGTATCTTTTATACCCTTCTTCATTTCTTCTTTCATCTGTCTCATTTCCTCCTTCCAATCTTCCAGCCCTATTCTCATCACCTCCTTCATCACCCCCTCCATTTCCCCTTTTTATTTCTTCATCTCCTCCTCTCCCTTCTCTATCTCCCTCTGTTCTCCTTCTTTCTTTTCTTCTTTTTTTCCCGGTGATCTAGTTGTTTTTTACTTTTAATAAAAATCTCTTTCTCCTCCTCTTCCCCTTTTTCCCATGCCTCCTCCCTCTTCCTCTTCCACACCTCTATACATCCATGACTCCCACATCTCACTCTCCCCTTTCTCGCTTCTCTTATTCCTTCAGCCATTTCCCATTTTCTTTTTATCCCGCTGTGTCGCTACCAGTCCCCTACCCCTATTACTTTCTATTCTCTATACACTCTTTGCTCTCTTTTCCTGTCCCGTTTGTGCCCGTCTCTATGTCCTATATTCTATGCCTGTCCTATGCCTGTCAACTCGTCTCCTTTTTCCTTGCCCTTTCCCTTTCTCCCTTCTCCGCCCCGTACTCCCCTCACTCACACACTCTCTCTCTCACCTCCACTCTCTCTTTCACTCACTCTCACCCCTCCTTCTGCTCTCCTCTCGCTTCTCACGTCACCCCAAAAACTTTGCTCTACTCCACGTGTCTCACTCTATCGCACCGGAAACGGAAATCCAAAATTTATGTATAATACATACACTTTTTTATCCTTCAGAGTGTTTTCAACCCATTTTTTTCAGCCGGGTTTTGTAGCACATAACACACACTCACACACGCACAACTAACACACACATAACTAACCTAATAGATTCTGTATATGACAGATAGCACTGAGAACTGTATAGCGCCTCTATCCCAAAATCTCGGAATTAATCTACAGCTCTTTTTTACCTTATTCTTCTATATTGCACGCATGCTTTGCATAAATCTGGAAAAGTATGGCATTTTAAAAATAAGTCTCTAAGCTCTATTTTTTTGGTTTTCCATTATTGTTTCATACGCTATTCTTCGGCACACACCCTTGTTTTGCAGATTGAAGCAGTATAATTTTGATATAAAAGATATAATTCTTTGAGGTGACATTGTTTGTAAATTTTCGAAATTTTTTTTTATATTTTGGTTTAAATTTTACTAACCACCGAAAGATTAGCATGTGTACTTTACTTACACCAAAGGATTTGTAATTCTATCAAAGCAATAAAAAATGCCATACTTTCCAGAAAATTAGAAGTTCGGTCGGTAACAATATGACTTCAGCATCCTCTTAATTTCATAAATTTTCGTTATAACGAATCGTTTGCATAATATTGTTTGATAAGAGAATCGTTTTTATGACCGTTTGACGAACTTGTTTATTATTTGATACAGATGATCTCAGCTGCTTTTTTTTTATTATTGTTGATAGCTCATGTATTACTTTTTTTTCGGACTTTGTTTGTTTCTTCTTTTCTCTTAGGCTTCAACGTACAAGGTCGTGTTTAGATTTGTTGCGTTTAAACTTCCGTCTCAACGTACTCTTTTGATTTTTATTACTCAGGAAATTATTTAATTTGGCTTCGAGTGGTCACGTAATCGTTACCTTTTTTTTTATCTTTCTTTTTTCTTCGTTTTCGCTCTTTAATTGAATAATTATTTTCTTTTGCTCTTTCTCGTTATTTCTTTTTCGTTAACGTTCGTGGACTTAACGTTGCGTTCCGTATTCAGCAACTAGAAACGTCTTTCTTTCTTTTGTCTTTTTCCTTTTTCTTTCTTTTCACGATAACGCTAGTAATTAACGCTTCGTTTCCGATATATTAATTTTAAAGTTATACGACAGTAATTTTAGCCTGCTAACTTTCTTTTCTTTGTTTGTACTTTTTTTTCTCGATTCATACCAAATAACACTTTTTTTTAAGCAATAGATTGCCTGACTGAGGCCGGATTGAAAATATCGTTACCGTTATTATATTGATATCGCCACATGATGAAAGTTTCGATCGTGGGTTTAACGGGCTCGCATTGAATTTGACTGATTTGGCGTATCAAAGTCGTTGAAACGTTACCGTTTTCGTGTCGTTTGAAATTGTTCGTTTCTTTTATTTAGTTGTGTACCGTATCAGATGTGTTTATGATTTCTTTTTTTTTTCTCGTGTCGGTTACTTGAGCATACGGTCACTTTCGTGTGTTGCTTTTTGAATTGAGCTACCGTTATTAATTTTTTTTTTTTTCCCTGTATGTTTTTTGCTCTTTTATGCCTTCTCGCGTACGGATAACGAAGAAAGCATACGTGAAGTTTGGTTGCATTACGATTGCGCAAGTGTATCAGCATTATTATTATCATTATTTTCTTTTTTTTCGGAAGACTTAGTGGAATTTCGGGGAGATTCGCGAATACGGAGTCGAGAATCGACTCTCGGCTTAAATTTTTTTTTCTCTTACTTTGTTTCTTTTTTCTTTCCGTGTCTCTTTTCATTTGTCGGTGATTATCGTCTCATGCGTGAGTTTGGAGGAATAACTTAATCTCGCTTTCTATTCTAGTGTTTTTTTTTATCTTCGGTTCTCTCTTGTTTTGTTTAGTAGCGTTAATTATTTTTTTTTTCTCTTTCGTTTTTTTCCTCTTATCGTATATTGTTGATTTCTCTTTTTTTTTTTTGCGTGTGCATTTTCAGGTTTTGCGTTCTATCGTGACAAATTCTCGTTCGATAATTAATTACTTTTTGTTGATACGAAACAATTTAGCGTCGTTTTTTTCTCGTTCTTTTTTTTCTCGTTCGTCTCGTTTCTTATTAAGATTATTTTTCTTTTTTTGTTGTTTTTGCGTCTCGACTGCGTTTTTTTTGCGAGTATTTGGGTGAGCATAGGGAATAGTACCGGATAATTTTTCCTGCTCCACATGAGGAAGGATAGTAATCCTCATCAGTGGATTTATGACCTGACCATCGAACAAGCGCGACAACACTTATCGGATAGGAAATTAAGCATTCAGGGAATTTTACCGGTATTGCGAGCGCGAGTCACGCGTTACGAAAACGCCCAGCACGAGAAGTCTCCCCCATCTCCGGCACTTAGCCCGGCTGAGGACGCCGCGATGTCGTTAGACAAGTGCGCGATTTCGGGTGAATCCACCCCCCGAAGGGAGAACCCGAGTTACCCGGGACACCCCCGTTTCACATTCGGAGGGGAAAAGAAAGACGCCGCGGTGAGAGGGGCTTACCCTATGCGTCCCCCGAAAATTCCGGAAGTTCCCTCGCAAACGTACGAACCGCGTTCGTCACGCGCGTCCACCGCGGAGGCATATAATCTAATGCGTAAGTGGAACCTACAGTTTTCGGGAAAGTGGGGTAGCGACGCGGAAGCATTCCTTTTAAGGATCCAAGAAGCTCGCGCGATAGTACCAATATCAGATTCCGATCTATTTAAATGTCTACCGCTATTTTTGTCGGATATGGCGCTTTATTGGGTGCGGTTGGAAAGCGCAAACTGGCGCAACTGGGACGATTTTGAGGCCGGATGGAGAGCGCTATTCGGAGATTCCGATTTTCAATACGCGCTGCGAAACGAAATTTTCAGGCGCACCCAGGGAGAGCACAAGACAGCTGCCGATTACCTGACGTGCTTACGCGCGTTGCTAAATAGAATGACGCCCCCCTGGCCATTAGCGGAACAGCTTAACTTCGCGCACCGCAATATGCTGCCGCGTTTGCAAATCGCGATCCGCCGGCAAGAATTCGTTGATTTTCCACATTAGAATATCTAGCGAACCGCGTAGAAAAAAGCTACCTTGCGGAGCAAAACTACCGACCCCCGTTACCGCCGGAACAATCTATTTTCCCGGACTTAGCGTACTGCGCTCCAAAAGGAAAACCGAAGAACCCTGTTACCGTTGCTACCGTTGCCTCCACTAAAAAGGAGAAGAAAAAGAAGGTCAAAACCGCGAATACGACGAAGGCTGATACCGATAAAGATACCTCTACCGATACCGCTTCCGATTTGTCAAGTAAAGTTACCGTTTCCGCTACCGCTGCGGCCAGCAATGTCAAATGCTGGAACTGCAATAAAATCGGACATCGCGCACGCGAATGTACCGAGCAGCGCTGCATGTATTGTTACCGGTGTGGCAAATAGGATGTTACCGTCAGAACCTGCCCTACGTGTGCGGGAAACGCGGACCAGAGCCAGTAGGTAGGGTCCCTACGACTCCAGATCCAGAGGGAGAGACCCGAACTAGATTGACAGATACCGAAACGCTAATACATTCGTACGTTACGTTCGAGCGGGACAAATTACCGCCCCTACTTTACGATCAGGATTGACAATTATACGCTTTCGGCCCTCGTGGATTCCAGATCCAACCAAACACTGCTAGGTCAGGAAGGAATAAAAATTATTCGTGCGTTAGGACTCGTGACCTCCAAAGGGAGAGGCACCCAAATTCGCACAGCGAATGGACAGATCGCGAATATTCACAAAGAAATCAGATTACCCATAGAATTAGAAGGTCAGTGTCGTAAGATTACCGTTGCATTGTTGCCGACGTTGGCAGTACCGTGCATTTTAGGGGTGGATTTCCTGACGAAATTTGGAATAGGGTTAGATTTCGCAAAAGGCGAATGGTATTTTTCACAAAATCCAAACGCTCGCTACCGTCTTGCTACCAACCAAACTTCTTGTAAAGGCTCATATTATGGATTGACAGAATTAACGTCAGAGCAGGAACAAACATTAGAAACTTTTTTGAAAACCCTCCCGGAACCGTCAGTGAATCCCGGTATTACAAGCTTGACAGAACATAAGATCGATGTAAGCAGTAATCCGCCCGTGAAACAGCGTTGTTATTTAGTGTCGCCTAAGGTTCAAGAAGCCATCCGTTTGGAACTAGACAAAATGTTAGACGCCGGAATAATAGAACCTTCGTTTAGCGAATGGTCAAACCCGGTAGTTATGGTCAAAAAACCGAATGGCAAATACCGATTCTGCTTAGACTTTAGAAAAGTAAATAGTTTATCGAAGAAAGATGCATATCCGTTACCGAACATGGCAGGAATTCTGGACAAATTGCGATCAGCTCGTTATATTTCGACTATAGATTTGAGTCAGGCATACTTTCAGATACCGTTGGCTAAGGACAGCTGAAAAATTACTGCGTTTTGCGTTCCGGGTAAAGGACTTTATCAATTTACGCGAATGCCGTACGGTCTAACAGGGGCACCCGCAACCTTTCAACGGTTGCTAGATCGGTTGATAGGCCCCAAAATGGAACCTTTTGCGTTTGCATATCTCGATGATATCGTAATAGTAACGCCTACTTTTGAGGAACATATGATCTGGCTGAATAAAGTATTGGATAAAATTACCGCTGCCGGTCTTACCGTGAAATGTGAATTTTGTTGTGCTCAGATGCGATATTTAGGATTTCTCGTACAAAAAGAAGGGCTAATAGTAGACCCGGAAAAGACGCAACCGATCCTCGAATATCCCGCGTCGCTAAATATCAAACAATTGCGTCGATTTTTAGGAATGTCGTCCTGGTATCGGCGATTTATTCCGCAATTTGCCACTCTTAGCGAGCCATTGACACGTCTTTTGAAAAAAGGCAAGCGCTGGGAATGGGGGAGTGATCAGGTTCGCGCCTTCGATCAGATTCGAGATCATTTAGTTACCGCACCGACACTTGCGTGTCCAAATTTTGAAGAACCTTTTGTATTGCAAACTGACGCTAGTTCTGTAGGGTTAGGTGCCGTTTTGACTCAAAACATTGATGGTGAAGAAAGGGTAATAGCTTTCGCAAGTCGAGCTCTGGCAGGCCCCGAAACGAAATATACGGTTACCGAGCAAGAATGCTTAGCGGTCGTTTGGGCGATAAAGAAATTCAGACCATATCTTGAGGGCTATAAATTCACAGTTGTTACCGATCACAGCAGTCTACGCTGGTTACATAATTTGAAAAATCCGACAGGTAGATTAGCTCGATGGGCTCTCGAATTATTAGAGTACGATTACGAAGTAATTCACAGGAAAAGTGCCTTACATCACGTGCCCAACGCAATATCTCGCATGTTTGAAACTCAAGTTACCGTGGAAAATTTAGATACCGTTACTGATACCGTTAATTTGGTTACCGAAATTGATACCGCTGGCGCGCTTGCCGCTGCCGATACCGCTCCGGTGTTAAACACTAAAGACGATTGGTACCGTAAAAGATATAAAGAGGTGATATCAAGTCCGAATAAATACACGCAATGGAAGGTCATGGACGGGCAATTGTATTTCTTGAGACCGAAACGCGTGATTTCCGAGATAGTCGAGGACCTCGACCGCTGGAAATTAGTTCTTCCGAAGGAATTGCGCCGAAAAGCCTTAAAAGATTCACACAACGCGCCGCAGGCAGGTCACCTGGGCGTAGAGAAAACTTATCAGCGTGTCGCCGTTTCTTATTTCTGGCCGAATCTGTTTCGTGACGTTATCGACTACGTACGAGCGTGTGATATTTGCCAGCGCACCAAGGTCGAACAAACGGGTAAGGTCTCATGGGTCTCCGAATTGCGGACAGCCCATGGAAAACCGTAGCTGCCGATATCATAGGGCCATTGCCGCGTAGTAAATCGGGATTTCAGTACATTCTCGTTATTCAAGATTTGTTCACCAAATGGGCGGAGTGCAAGGCACTTAGATCTGCTACCGGAATCAAAATTAAAGAAGCCCTCGAAGATTTAGTAATTTCACGATGGAGCGCTCCGAGATTTTTATTGATGGATAACGGTACCGAATTTATTAATAAAACGATGAAGGCGCTTGCCAAAGGGCGTAATATCACGCATACAACGGTACCACCCTATCATCCTCAGGCTAATCTCGTGGAGCGAGTCAATCGCATTCTCAAGACCATGGTCATCTCTTTCATAGAGAAAGACCATTGCGAATGGAATGAACATATCTCCGAATTCCGTTTTGCGTACAACACCGCGTTTCTACTTCCATTTCGTATCTCTCATCGCGCATTTCTTTCAGCATAGATTCTATTTTACGTGCCATTTCTCGTTCTTTAGATGTTATCGGACTTGTTGATAGATTAAGGGCCGAAAAACTTACGTATACTAACATTATTACGTTAAATGGATTTAATTAAACCATTCTGAAAAATATAACAATTAAATACTTCTCCTTATTTGTGTACAAAAAAATAATACTTTATAGTGAATTTGCTGTTTTTTTTTATGCTGTTTTATATATTGTTTTTCCGTAATCACTAACAAGCGCACAACTTTAAAGCGTAATATGCACTGACGGGATATGACAACGCGCTGCGCTATAAATGCGCTTGAAATGCGACTATAAAAGTGTAAAATAGAGAGGATGCCTTGGCAACAACTTTAGTAAACTTTGTTCTTTGATCAGAACATTTTTCCGAATACTTCATAACATGCTAATCTTTATTTCTAATTTTATTCGTTTTATCGATTACACAAGCGCGACACAAACGATGCGTTATGCATATACAGGGTGTCCCATTTAACTTGAGACAACTAAATATTTCGAAAAATAAGCATTGTACGAAAAAATGTCCCAAATAAACTTTTAATATTATCAAGGGGGACGTCTGCCTGTGTAAAAATTAACCCGCCCCCACCGCCTCTTGGGAGTGGGGCGGGTGGCAACTTTGAAATTTTAAATGGGAACCCTCATTTTTTATTGCAGATTCGGATTCCTTGGAAAAAAATACGTAAGTTTTGTCCGAGACATTTTTTCGAATCGTGATAGATGGCGCTGTAATCAGTGAAAATTAGTTTTTGCCATTTTCTCTCACCATCGGGGTGCTTTATTTCGGTGAGTCCCCTCGCCTCTCACTATTCAATTACAATAAATGCTCGAAATGATGATCTTCCATTTCGATGCATTTATTAACTCGAGCTTGGAATGCTTGTACACATGTAGAAAGTGTATCTGGCGTTATTTGTGCGCAAGTATATCTAATACGTTCCACCATGTTTTCTCGAGTATTTGGTGCTTCTGTATACACTTTTTCTTTAAGGTAACATAAAATTATTTCAACTTTCAAAATTATTTTAACTTTCTTTTCTAAAGATAAATAATCCATTATTTATTTGCTGAAATAAAGAACGCGTCCGTAAAAAAACAAGTAGCTAGCGTACCAAAACTATGAGGCATCTACATATGTAGTAAATTTCTGAAATACTGAAAATACTGAAAAGGAGAAACAAAATAAATGAAAGAAATTAAGTCAGAACAATTCTTCAATAACTGGATTCTTTAAATTTCAAGTCAAGTAAATTTCAGTAATATAACGATGAAATATAATGAAATGGCGATAAGAGCCGTTGGATGTTAGTGCTAAATTTTAATTTTTCTTAAAGAAATTAGTAAATTAGTCTACATGAGACAGTTAGATTGTACACCGATCTCAGATCGAGATACCTAAATACATATATATATATATATATATATAGATAAATAGATACACATTGTATATATAGATACATATATATATGTATATGTATTTTACTTTATCTAATATGTAATTAAATATTTTTTTCATTTAAATGTCTTTGATCATTTAATTAAATAAGACCTCACGTTCCTCTATTCCTTAAAGATCGCACACGGTTCCGTTCCAGATAATTGAGATCGCTATCTCAGACCTAAAAGGGAACTACTGAACGGTATTCTGCAAAATTGAGTAAAATCGATCTCTCAGTTGTTGACCCGTTTTCAGAAACAAACAAACCGTTCGCCTCACAGAGTCAGATCCTTAAAAATTCTGGCCTGTGAGCCTGTGGTCGAGTCACGACGTAGTTATGACTCGACCACCCTTCCTCAGGTAAGGACGTAACATTATAATTTATAGTTTTCACATGCTTTTGCTCTTAATGGGTAAAAACATTGGCAATATATAGAGGCATTTAAAAATAAGAAAATATTTACATAATTTGCTATTCTTATTTTGTCTGTATATGTTTTTAAAGTTTGTTTATTAAAATCGAAAACATCTTGTATATAATAGCATCTATGAGAATTTTTTTACTTTCGAAAGATTCTTATTATCAAAACTTTTAATACATACAATACATACAGTATAGTACATACAGTAATACATACAGTATAGATTGTCTTTATTATTATAAATTATTAGTTATATCTTCTTCATTATTATAAATTATTAATTCGATTTAATGTAATTCTATTTTACAATTTAATGTAATAAAATTATATTTTTTGTTTAATTTACTATAAATTATAGCATTATATTTGTTTATATTTCCAAGATATTATAGGAACATCAATAGAATTATGATGCAATTTTATATTTCTGCAACATTACAATATTGCTGCAATCTATTTTGAATGTTCTGTGCTATATGGAATGTATCGAACACATACATATATGTATGTGTATTCTATTGTTTTTCTACCGACAGAACTTGTAGTAGACATTTGCAAAACTGCTCACACAATCATAGTTGTATGGAAATTCTTGTAACACTATATTGAACAAATGCTATTGCACGCCGCATTCTATAATAAATCACGATATTCCTTTGATAAAACAAGTGCCAAGTAGGTTCGTATCGCGGCCGCTATGCGTCGTAGTACAAATCCGATCGCCGCAGCATTGCAGCATCGACCGCTTTCCCCCTCCCTCCCCCAACCACACACACCTCTGCACCTTCGTGTGGCGCTCGCCTACCCGCACGCACCCTCTTACACCCCCTTATCGGAATCGAGTCGTCACTGGCGGTGGTGGCGGTGGCTTCGATCGACATCACCAACAGTTTTTCGCAGGACGCTTGTTGCTTCTGTACACAAGCTACGAAGGCAACAGAACTCACTCTGTTACATCTTTTCGTGCGCCTTAAAAATCATTCGGATGCCTGATTACGATTATTTGATTAGAATTATTTTACTTGCTTCATCATAACAGTGAATAAATTGCGAAAAGTGTTATCACACAGTGTGATCCTTGATATATATTTTATTGACTGGTAATTAAGGTACATTATGGATAAATATGAGCATCACTTAATGATTCTTATTGTTGAAAATTCGAATCTTTTGTAGTTTTTATGTATATATGTGATTAATTTATTTAAAATTTATTAAAATTGGTTTATTATAAATATCGTTTTATTCTGTGTAATCCAGATTTTTTTATGTATAGTAGTGTTATATATTATATTACTACATATTTTAATAAAATTATTTGATATAATTAGTACATGAACTGGATATACACGTTACAATCGTAACAGTTATGAATTACATATTTACTTAAAAATATGTAAATTGGAAAAAATAGTGGTTTTATTATTTTAGTGTCAAAGTTAAAATAGTTTTTCAATTATGAGCAATGAAAGTTTACAACTTAAATAAAAACTAATTGAGCTTAATAAGTTTCTGAATTTCTAATAAATAACTAATAAAATTTTCTTTTTTAGTTAATTTTAATTAAACCTTATTTAAAAATTTTTACTAGTAATAAAATTGCTAAGCATTAAATGGACAAATTAATAAAATAAAGTCATGATTTCTGCAACGTACTATTTCATAGCACATACGCGCGCGCGCGCGCGCGCGCGTGTGTGGGTGTGTGTGTGCGCGCGAACGTACTTCGTGTATATGTGTGTGTATATAAGTACCCATGTTTTATGTTTTGAGTATAATAAATAAATAAAATTATTAAAAAGCATATTTTATTATTTGTTTGTGTTTTTGCACTTTTATTTATCAAAATTTTTTAATCTGCAATGATAAAAATATTTTCGTATGCTAAAAATTACATAAATTATTATGTTTGTATTATTTAAATTATAATTATTTAATGATTAATAGTGATATTTCAAAGGTAGGAATTTTTTACATTACATGTAGTGCAGAAGAGATTACTCTCATTACCTACAGTTCACAAAAATATTTTTACATTAAGAAAATGCATGCAACTTAAACTTTGCATACGAAGATATAATAAAATAATAAATATAATATGTAATTGCGTATGAATATTTAACATCAATCTGTAAAAGTTTACAGTTTATTCAACTATTCATAATAAGCAAATGAAATTATTTAACAAATTAAGTAGTTTTATAATAAGTTTTGTTAATTACTGCTTAATTGTATGTTAGAATGCAGGAAAAAAAATAGATTAAAGAAATTTTCAGACTGTTGTATCAAAACTGTGTTCTTAGAGAACTGTATTATATAACAGAGTTATCTGTTTTGTACAAACATAGAACATAGAACTTTATTTGATACATAAAACATTCGTCTTTTCTATATTTAGATTACAGGTTTGGACTACTATGACAATCGCTTGATAAAGCCTACGTGTTACTTCAAAAGATGATGATTAACTGGCAGCAGCAACTTTGCAAAAGTGCAAACACATCACGAATTTTAAAGGCATTTTTGAAAAATTGTAACACGTTCATACCGTATCCATTGTAACTTGAAAAAATACATACCATAGGACGTTGTCCTGCGTATTCTGCGTATCCTACGAGCTTGGAATCTCTTTCCCGTAGGCTTCAAAAAAGCCGCAAGTTGTTAGTTCCTCCGATGAACGTGAGTTACTTACAACTTATGTCAAGGAGGTGTCTTGTAGAGGACCAGCAAGGTAAATATGAAGGCCGAAAAAAACAATGGATATCTACGATCCTCAACTATTGTCACTGAATCGTCGGCCGATTTGCCGATATCAAGATTAGTTGGTCAAGACTGCACTGCACCTACTATAAATCCTCTTCAGGTACATGAAATTTCTTGATAATTAAAATTTGACGTTCTTTGAGTATCACGTGTTTTTTAGGATCCTTATTTCAAAATAAACATACAATATCATTGAAAAGTTTTTGGACAAAATGAAAAAAATACGATATTGCAAAAAAACTAAAAATATACTCTTTTCTGTGGTATATAAGTTTATAACAAGTGTTTAAACTACAAAAAATTAATCAAAAAAAATTTCGTACCATTATACAGTTAGGAGCATCAAAAGTTATCCACTCGAGTACTTCTATCATTTTTCAAGTTTTCCCTTCTATCTACTAAAGGTCTTTTCTTATTCCCAACAATGCACTCGGCGTCCTCTCCTCGTGTTAGATGGAGATTAATAGATGGACGGGGGGACGTCAGCGAGAACATATTACTGATTGTGAAATTAAGAGAAGATCTTAAGCAGATAGAAGGGGACGGTTTGGAAAATAGTGAGAATACTTAAATGAATAGCTTTTGATGCTCCTTATTGTTTAAGTTAAAAATACTTATATATTTTTTTTTTTTTTGGAAATAGCTATCGCAAGCCTTTATCACAGCTTTATATTAGGTTGTTAACTAAGTTTTATGGACTTTTTTGTCAAAAATCTGTGTTAATATTTAATATTCAAGGAAATTTTTTAAATCAAAGTAATTGCCGCTGTTATCTATTATCTTTTGCATCTTTCTGGTAAAAGTTGAATGTCACGATGGAAAAAAGCCAGAGATTCTTGGCAGTAAAAAAGTCATTGGTCCATTTTTGGACCTGATTGGTTTTGAAAGCACTGTCCTGCCAATTTACGTTGCATCAATCGAAACAAATAATAATCCGAAGGCGCAACTGGTGAATAGGCTAAATGTGGAAGGACTTCCCACTGCAAGTAGCTTCCCATTCCAATAGCGTTTGTACGATGGTTGAAGCGATATAAGGCCAGGCGCACGGCTTATCACTCAAGTCAAACTCATTATTTTTGAATCATTTGAATCATTTCTCATACATGTCAGCAGATATAGTGTTGTCATCATAAACCTTACAAATTAATTTTTTCGTTTCAGCAGCAGTTTTCTTTAAATTAAAGAACATAAATATGCAGTGGCAAGTATGCACTTTATCTTGAATCACACTTAAATAATATTTACGATAGCAACAGCGACTTAAAATATATCTATTTTTATACAAGATAGCCAACTATTAAAAAAACAATGAAAACTCGCCACAAACAAATGCTATACTAAATATTAAATCTATCTACTTTCGATCCGCAGAACTTAGTTAAAACCTAATATATTCGAGTTAATCTAATATATCTATGTACAAGTTTCATCAAGGTGTCCTCAGAGATTGACTTCCAGACTTTCTGAAGGTCTTCCCATAGCTTGTTGACATTTGTTAAAAGACACTTGTTGAGTTTTTTCACTTTTTGATCGAGTTCTATAGAAGCTCTATAGAAATAGAGTTATGTAATTAGATCACTGAGGAGACCAGATCATATTTTGAATCACTTTTTCTTTCTCTTGCCGCGTCAGATAATTTCTATAGAGATAAGACAAATGTTTAGAAAAAAATTGATTAGATAAAAATTTGTTTTTCAACAAAATAATGATTCTAAACATTTGCCTCATCTCTGTAGGAATTATCTAATGCATCAAGAAATTTTTATTTTATCCAAAAAACTTTCCGACGGTATTATATAAATTGTTTTATTTTAACTAATTTTATTTAGGTAACATATGGTCCACGCGGTGGAACTACTACATCTATTCTTCAACATTCGGCTAACAATAAGCCGCAGAGGCCAATTGGTGTGACACGTGCTACTTCAATCACACGAAGACGAAGTGGGACAGCAAGTAGACAACGTTTGCTCAGTGTATTGGCTATCACTCTGCTGGCCAGTTGTTTTATACTTCTATTATTGGCATTGAACATCACACGTGAATGCATTCGAGAACCCGGTAAGTTTTATCCTTTATTTATCTTTTTATTTTAATTTTCGAGGATTAGAAATATAGAAATTTGTGATTGTAATATCGGTATTATAGGAATACCAAAACTCCTCTATATTGTGTATACTGCTTCTGTATATTTTATTGAGTACCTAAATAATATTTTGATAACTGATAATGAATCTTAAAATCAAAAGAATCTGAAAATCGAAAATTATAACAATTCAAGAGTTTTGGTATTCGACATTGAAATTCAATATTCGATATTCAGAATCTAACAGTAAAAACAGTACTAGAATCAGTATTAGGCTAGAATCAAATACTAGTATATCATTGCAGCATTTTTATTTTCAGATTCAAATGTTTGTATGACGGAAGAATGTGTCAGAACAGGTATATTCTTTTAAATTATATATTAAATCTATTTATCTTTAGTATAAATCTATTAATCTTTAAGTTTATTTAGAGAGGGCTTTAACTACCTACATTCCTATTTGCCAACAACTTCGTTTGCCTACAACATTTTGTCGACAGCTTCGATTGCTAACATTCCCAATTGCCTACAAGCATTATTACGCACATGTAAATATTAAAAATACAAACGTACGTTTGCACACAAGACATTATTACACACATACACATTGCACACATGAAATAAGGAAATCGTATTAACACTTTGCACACAGGATATTATTGCGCACATACAGATTGCACACATGACTTTATGATATAAACTTCGTTTCGCATCTGAAGCACCGGGTGATGTGAGTTAGATCTCGCCTCGCGCGAAAAGTTGCAAACCCACGTGGAATCGTTGTGAAATCTAATTATAAACCTTTGAATACCGTGTGTTTGTTGATTTCTTTATTTCATGTGTGCAATAATACCATGTATGCAATGTGTATGTGCGCAATAATATCATGTGTGCAATGTGCATGTGCGCAATAATGTCATGTGTGCAAACGTACGTTTGTATTTTTAATTTTTGCATGTGCGCTTGTAGACAATCGGGAATGTCGGTAATTGAAGCTGTCGGCAAAATATTGTAGACAAACGAAGCCATTGGCAAACGGGACCCTCCCTACGGGGGTCATTTGAGAATTACTCGGAATGAAATATTGATGTGTAACTTGATAGTGTAACTGAAATTATTCCCAGCAAAGACAGATATATAATCATTACATTGTTCTAATATAACAGAATGTAACACGCTATATAACATGTATGCTGTAATGCACGCATATAATATACTGGTTAGTTGTAATTTTCCACTGACATGATATTGCAGTTATATCATATAGATATAACGCGGTACTAAAATGTAATATAATTGTTATATAACTGTTATTTCATTAGTTAACGTATAGTTACATCTTTATTAGATTAGAGTTAAGTTATTATCCTGTAATAAATGGAAATCCCTGGAAGGAATAATAGATCCATGAATTAATTCTAAGCAAAATTGAATGAAATCTTTTTGTGAATACATATTTCATTTAGTTTCGCTTAAAATTAATTCAAGGATCTGATATTCCTGAGAGTTGCATCTATTACAGAATAGTAACAGTTAAAATATGTTGTAATAAAAAAATTCAATCAAAATTTAAGATACTTTAATTACTTTAATACTTTATTAATACTTTTTTATGGGTTGCGGATCTTCCGTTAAATATCGCGTATTTTTCAAGCAAAAATCGCTAATTTTCAATTCCAGCCAGTAAATTCAGACATCCTGAAATAAATAAATAAAATTAATACAATAAATATCATAGAAAGAAAAGTCAATCGGTTAAAAATAAAGCGCCGCGATAAATTCGCTTCAAATTCTTTCATCATTGCCGGATTAGTTAGTATACTTCATATTAGGTTGCAATTTATTGAATTGGTGGAGATAATATTAATCTTTTTATTCATTCCATTCATTCCAATTACAAAGAAACATAAAATGTGCATTTACCAAGATTAATTGATAAAAATAGTGTCACAAATGTAACACGGCACAGTTCTTAAAATTATATAATAATATTATTACAATTCTTGTGTATGCGATAATAACTGTCAAAAACTTTGCAATGACTGATGTCCAGTAAACACTGTTATATTAATGTTATGTAAAAGCATTTGTTAATAAAATAGAATGTTTTAAGTAATATATATTAGTATTACCGGTAAATTATTGGTTAATTGTAATTTTCCACTCATAAATGTAACATGTAATATAACATATGTTAATTTCATTGATACTACGTAGTTATATTCCATATAGAATTGGTTCATATAGAATTGATCATAGAGTTAATAATTAAATAAATTAATTAAATTATATGTATTTAATTTATAAAACTTGCGATTTAATTTCTATAAAAATTCCGATTTTTGCTTCAAATAGGCAGTAAATGAACTATTTCCCATTTACCCACCCAATTTCAAATAATCTGTTTAATATTCTGAATCCCTTGTTGGGATTGTATCAGAAATTAAATTAACGAAGAAAAGATATACTTTGGATCTTATGTTAGTACCCGTCCTTTGTAGGCTTTATATGCATTTCATGGTAAAATCTTGAATACGAGTTAATTAAATCTGGCTTCGCTGCGTAGCGGCAACAAAAGGACACACAATATTATATTGTAATAATATTCTGTTACATTACTGTTGTAATGTTGCAAAATAATACGTGGTATATTACAGTTTTATCATATATAGGTAACTTGCGTTATATTTGTTACTTCCACGTTATATCACTGCAACAAACAGTGTTTATAAACAATAAACAACCTACAATATATTGTAGGCTGCTGCTCACAATTCACCATATAAACTGAGCGCAACAAAAAAAATCAATATAACATTAATATAATGACTGTTGTATAACATGTATATTTATCTGATATTGCTGCTATTTTAGCATAACAAGAAAATAATAAAATAATGCAACAGTTTTAAAAGTTATTTTGTGCCTACAAAAAATTATATAATTTTAACGTTAATAAAGTGTAACACTAGTTATATTACATATTACTTCCATGTTAATTACAGTTATATTCTGTGTTTTGCTGGGATTACTATGTTATGCTCCTAGTAGGAAATTACGTTTTTAGAATAAGAAATTATAACTAATCTGTGTATTACACGCAATGTATGTTATATTGCATATTACATTCTGTTATGTTAGGGCAATGTAATAGTTAATATCTGTGCTTGCTGGGTCCTTACTCGTATGTTTTTTTGGATGGGGTCTGGACAATCTTAACTGATGTGTGTATTGTCTTTAGTAGGTGAATATCGCGAGTGTGACTTGTGACTTGCTAGTCGAACAATTTGTTCGCTAGACAACAGGTCAACGTTGATTCAGTGTACATTCTTAAATAACTTTTTTTTTAGACAACAAAAAATGGTCTAATTTTATAAACCAATGTTGTAATCACCAATTTATAAACACTTGTCGTATACTAATATAAAATCAAGTAAAAATAATGAAAGGGTTTATTGGATATAGCGGCTAGTTTATTAGCAGCGATGGACCGTACCGCAGCGCCCTGCATCGATTTCTTTCAATACGCTTGTGGTACATGGAATCAATTGCACGTGATACCAGAAGACCGAAGCTCTATCAGTACTTTCGAAGTACTGTCTGATCAGCTACAAGTAATCTTGAAGCGCGTTCTCGAGGAACCGCCTAACGCGGATGACAATAATGCTACTCTCAAGGCGAAGATGTTCTACAGGTCGTGTATGGACATCCGTGGGTATAAATGATACACAGGATGCCCCGAACAACCATAATCTCTTTCCTTCTTTCTCTTTCAGTCATAGATATGATAAATCATATTTAATATTTAATTTCATAGATACATAGAAAAATAAACAATATAAATATAATAAATTGACTCCAAATTGCTGTGTATAAGATTTAGCTTGTATCTGATATAAATATATTACAAAAATGAAATTAACATAAAAACGCAGCTCGCATACGAGAGAGCAGGGATGCCCCTTTGAAGGAAATCTTAAAGCGTCTCGGTGGTTGGCCAGCAGTGGTAGGAACGTCCTGGAAGCCACCACCTTATCCACTGGAAGTTCTTTTGGGTCGTCTACGTGGCGAGTATAACGAGGGCGTATTGTTGGAGCAATGGGTTGGTCCGGACGATAAAAACTCCTCGACCAACATCCTCCAGGTGCGCCGCCAAAGTAAGACCCCGTCGACGGTCGACGGCTGTACAACACGCTTATTTTTACAAAAGAATTTGTATTTATTTGTATTTTATCTGTACTTTATTACTTTGTTAATTACAAAAAATGTTTATACAAATAGAAGCAAAATTTTTGGAAACTGTAAAAGAATCTATTGTAATAATGTTCTTATTTATCTATACAGTTAGACCAGATGCAGTTAGCATTGCCCAGCAGAGATTACTACTTGAAGAAGAACAGCGAGGCCGAACTAAAGGCTTATCACAATTACATGACAAGTGTCGCTGTTTTACTGGGAGCGAATCCTCATTCAGCGGCAGAAGAGTTTAATCGAGTGATTGTTTTAGAGAAACAACTAGCCAACGTACGATTTATTTATATTTAACGTAATCTTGTACTGCTTGTCTCATTTCCCGAATTGATTAAAAGCGAAACATATTTATTTCTCTTTTACTAATTAAAAATAATAATTACTAATTAAAAATTTATATTTTTTATTACAAGTCTGAAAAATTTTAAATGTAGGCGTAGATTTTCTCCATAATCCATTCCATTGGTGATTCTAGGCTTCATTACCGGAAGCGGACAGGCACGATACCTCGGCAATCTACCGGAAACTAACGTTGCGGGAACTGCAGCAAGAGGTACCGCAGCTGAAGTGGCTTATTTACTTACGCGAGTTTATCAGCGCACCGATAGATGAAGAAGAACCTGTCGTGGCATACGCGATGCCGTACTTTATGCAAATGGGTGGTATCATATCGAGGACGGATCGTAGGTGAAGAAAATGTTTTAAAAAATTATTTTAAGGCAATATCTATAATAAACTTTTAAATAAATTTGTTGTTTCAGAAAAATGAATAATTTTCTGTAATTTTTTATGAGTAAATCCAAATATAGTATCAAATATTTTTTTCGGAATAGCATTGCAAATATGACTAAAATTGTTATTTTCGGGATATATTTTTGTATTTTTTAAAAATGATGTTCTACGCACTTTTTAAGGCCGGTATTCAGTTCTGTATTGATATTTTTTGTATGTATAGTACTTTAATAACAGTAGAAAATATTTATTTTTTTAAATATTAAGTTAAATTCTTATATTTTTAGGTTTCTACGTTTTTGAATTCTTTATTTTCCAATTTCTCAGTTTCATGCTTCTAACTGTTTGCAGTTTCCATGCTTTATAATATTATAGATTTCAAAATCCTTACAATTTTTTGATAAAATTTTTGACTGAGTTTAATATTCACATATTTCTTGATTAAATTTTTTTACAGAACTTTACACAACTATATTGTATGGCGACTCGTTATGTCGATTATGCCTCACATGATTGATGAATATCAGCAAAAACGGATCGAATTTCGCAAAATTTTACTAGGCATTCTCAGTGAAAGGAATAGATGGTCACAATGCGTTGAGTGGACCAACAAGAAACTCGGAATGGCAGTAGGAGCTCTTTTTATACGTGACAATTTTAATCATGAAAGTAAAGTGAGTATTTTCAGTTCTAGAATTGGCTTTGTGATTGATAGAATTCTTAAACCAGAATGTCCGATGAGGTTTTCAGGAGACTGCTTTAGAAATGATCCGTACGATTCGTGAGGCTTTTAATGAATTATTGGCTGAAAATCGTTGGATGGATGATGAGACTCGGATGGTGGCAAAGAAAAAGGCCGATTCGATGAACGAGCGAATTGGATATCCTGAATTTTTAAAAGATCCTCTTGAGCTTTCTATGGAATATGTAATGGTAACTATATTGTACTTTATAATGTTATTTTATTTATTATATATGTATATTAGGGTGGTCCTTAAAAGGGGTCTGCTGGAATTTTATTCTTGGAGCCTTCTAAATCGGCTCCAAATAAATTTAAAAAATCCCCCCTAAGTTTCAGCCCTCTATCTCAACCCCTCCTGCAAAGAGGTCGAATTTCGCCATTTAAAATACATGTCTTATTACTATATTTTCATTATATATTTTTTCGAGAGACTAATTACTCGCGAAAAAATTCGTAATTGTGACATATTTAAGGACGTGAATGTTATGTATGTAAAAAAATATTAGTGTAATTTTAGGGGAAAACCACGTTGAATTACATGACCTAGATCTCACTTTTTTTCAAATTTGACGAAATATTGTATCGAAAAATGAACATATCCGTTACTTCGTGTTCTTTTATTGTGTTTATGTTTAAATAGGGCTGTAAAAATCATACGATTTACGATAGTTTATTTTTGTTTCATTTGCGATTTTTTCCTTCCTTTTTTTTATAATTACGAAGATATCGTGATATTGTACGAAAATAAGAAAAAAAAGAATCCGGATAAAATTACTGAAAACGCACTTGAAACGCTTTATTTACAGCCCTATTTGACATAAACACAATAAAAGAACACAAAGTAACGGATATGTTCATTTTTCGATACAATATTTCGTCAAATTTGAAAAAAGCAAGATCTAGGTCATGTAATTCAACGTGGTTTCCCCCTAAAATTACACTAATATTTTTTTACAAACATAAAATTCACGCCCTTAAATATGTCATAATTACAAATTTTTTTGCGAGTAATTAGTCCCTCGAAAAAATATATATTAAAAATATAGTAATAAGACATATATTTTAAATGGTGAAATTCGACTTCATTGCGGGAGGGGTTAGGATTGAGATAGAGGACTAAAACTTAGGGAAGATTTTTTTTTATTTATTTGGAGCCGATTTAGGGGGCTCCAAGAATAAAATTCCAGACCCCTTTTAAAGATCACCCTAATGTACATACTTATATATTTCATGCTTCCTCTGAGGAATAATCAAAATTTTTTCATTGTACATATTGAATTATTTCAGTTAAATATAACAGAAAATCACTTTCTGGGGAATATTCTTGCTGTACTTAAGTATGATGCTTATCACAATCTGCAAAAGTTGCGAAAACCAGTTGATAAGAATAAGTGGTCGACTGAACCAGCTGTGGTAAACGCTTTCTACAATCCCAACAAAAATGATATAGGTGAGGATTATCATTAATTACATTTATTAACAAAGTTAGACATTTTTTATTGGCTAGAAAAAAACATTAACTTTCTATAATTTTTTATATATTAAATCCGAATTTGGCTTTATAAAGTAATACATAAAGATTTTGAGAAAATCGAAGAAAAATATACCAAAAATAACGAATTTTACAATGTCATTCTAAAAAAATTAATTTTTTTTAAGAATAATTATTATCGAAAAATATTTTTTTTTTTTAAATAAAAAATGTAATAAAAAAATAAAATTAAAAAAATTATAAAAAAAGAAGTTTAAAGTAAACTACAATATTTCCACATGATACATTCTAAATAACGTTGAGTAAAATAATATTGCTTTTACAACTAAATGTTATATCTACCTCAATAAGCGACAATAAAACGACAAATACAGAGTGTCCTAATAAAATGTATACACATTTTATTACCATATATTTTAATCAGTAAAATAGACAGACGTTAACTTGTTGTGTTGGTTACCTTAAGAGGATCGCGGAATGCCTGACGAACTCTGATGCAATAGCGCCATCATTTCGATGGAACTAAAAATGACATTGACATTATGTCGGCGTTATGTCTATGTATACGTATCTGTTTGTGTTAATAACTCATTACACATTTGGTCTATGTATATACAGGGTGATTCAAAATAACCGTATGTCCTTAAAAAGGCATATTCCTGAGCGTATTCTGAGACAACTTTTCCTTTGGCAAAAGTTTGTGCAGAGCTTAATTTTCAAGTTATAAAAGAAAATAGTTAGCATATCGTGAGTCGAGTACAAAAAACAAGCAGGGGCGTCGCAACTCATCGTTACATGCGAGTGTTTACGTGAGGCGCCTGCTGCAATCAGCTGACACTCACGATACACAAATACGTATACGCATATCTCTCTCTCTCTCTCTCTCTCTCTCTCTCTCTCTCTCTCTCTCTCTCTCTCTCGTATAACTTCGTATAATGTATGCTATAC